TTCATGAACACGGCCCTTCGTAAATACAAAATTGGTGTTCCAAATCAGAGCAGCAGAAACAAGGAGTCTAACCCCTGGATCCACCTACGTCTCAGAGAAGCGAAGCTCGCTTTTGGTCCGCTATTAACCCACTACCTGTCTCTTGTGGAAGCATTGCGTAGCCTCGCGGCTAACCGGCTCGAAATCCCTCATGTGAGGGAGATCCGTGGCAACATTAATTACTCTGCGGAATTAAATATCCAAATAAGAGACCTCTATGCTTCAGAACATATGTGAAAGTTTTTTGATCTTCTTGACCTCTACTGTGATTCAATATCGAGTTAAATTTCTTGCGTTTGAAGGATTGTATCGTTTTAGATTGTTCGGTTTACACAACGATATCATAAATGTTTTATAGGGCTAACGCTTCGGCGCTTTCTCCTTCTTCAAAATGATGATGATGCAAGTCAACTGCTCATAGCCATTTGTCCGTGCGATATGATTCTTCGTAGTAGTTACAATCATTCTAGCTTAACTCGTTAATTTGCTGTTTCAAAGGCATTCGTAGAAGGTTGAACTGTCACTGGACGCAGACCGGTTGAAACGTTCGCTTCTGCCGAATCTTCATCCATCACGAGAAAACCAATGTTATCACATACACAAGAGCAATCGAATTTGCTTATGGGATAGTCATGAGGTGAGGATTCTGTCCTCTTCATGGGTCTTGCTGAATACTCGTCGAGTTGATCATCCTCAGGAATCGTAAGGCAACTCAGGAACAGAGCTTCCGAGCCTTAAATACGTACAATCGCCGGCCTATTCAGGTAAAAGCGAAATTTTCCAGGCAAGTCTGAATCAATTCACCGGTTCAGGGCGGATGGTGTGCTTGGTTAGCCTGGAACGGGGCAGACTCTCCCAATCTGAGAAAGAGTCCGGCGTTCCCATCAGGAAGCCTAGCTAAGAGTAGTAAGAGCAATACCAGGATCCACCACCGTCCTGGTATCAAAGTCGTATGGTGGTAAATCTCCCCTGATCCATAAGAGCTGCGGTTGCCTGTGACGAACTGGGGCAAACTTTGGCCAGACTGCCCTCCGGATTCCAGGGAACCACAATGGCTTCGACAGCAAATCTCCGAAAAATGGTGATTATGCTGGGACCCGCACGACTAGTGATGACGGGCCGTTCAAGTATCAAGTATCAAATATTAGGTACCCCAAAGGGCGTGTGTGGCGCAGTGGTCAGAGGCGCCCAGCAACATGCACGTGCAATCGATCCCCGCGCCCATGGCCCACCAAGCCTTCCATCCATCCGGGGTCGGCAAATTGGTAACAGACTCGTCTGTGGGGATAGCAGCACTGGCTCGATACATCGGTAGGCCACCGCGAGTCATTGTAAAGGCCAGATATGCATTCAACCACCTCCAACGATAATTAATGAAGTCGAATGCATGGTGAATCCCTCAGGGGTTGATGAATGCCGAGAGCTTTATCCTTTGTCCTTTTATTGGGTACCCAGATAAGTGAACGGTCGAACCAATGACCGCGTGTGCGTTGCAGTTAACTTCTGCAGTTTACTTTGTATGTTCACCTCTAACTACTGCTCTGTAACTACTGTCTTCCTTACGCATGTGCGTGCATAAACGATGAACCGATGAAGCTCTTTTAGGAATCGCAACGTTGTTATACAACATACATTTACTTCCGTGCAAAAACACAATACAACACAAAACACAATACAGCTGACGTTTCGGCAGCATCGCCTTCTTCAGAGCCTGGAAGGGTATAGTGATACCTAATTTACTCCGCCGAACCTATCAACACTTGCTTACTTGGATACTTGGACGACCCATCCTCGCTAGTTCTGCGGGCCCCAGCATAATCTCCATTTTTTTAGAGTTTTGCTGGTTTAGTCACTGTGTTTCTCTGGAGTCGCAAGGTCAACCTGGCCAAAGTATGTCCCAGATCGTCACCACTACAGGCATTCGCAGCCCTTGTGGATGAGAGATTTGCCACTATGCGACTAGTTTGATACGAGGACGGTGGCGGTACCTGGTATTGGTATTGACTTACTTTTAGCTGGGCTTCATAGTGGAAAGTAGAAGTGGAAACACCGGACTCCTTTTCATCTTGGGAGGCCATGCTGGGGAGACGAATCCACCCGCTGTACTTCGCAGCCCGACACCAGGAACACCTTCCAGCCACGATGAGGTGGTAAACCGTTGGGAGCGACGCTTCAGTAACACGGACAGGAAGACGGAAATCGTATGGCGATCACACGATCAACAGCTTCTCGAAAAACTAACCGTTTTTTATGTGTCTTCCACTGAGGAAGAAAGGAACAGCTGATCAGAGTCGCATATGGTTGATGACAAACAATATTTGTAATTCAATGCCGAGGTTAACAGAAAGTCGATCATAGGTCCTTTTAGCTGCTAAAAGAGATAACTTATGAACGACATCGGGAGAAATCTCATATATGGGCATCACATGTAGCAAATCTGAGCCTAAATTCCCGTTGCCTAAGAGTAAGCCCTGGTCTACAACCTAAGCTTTTGCCCATGGTTTTAGTCCAAGTCCGTATTGCGGGTTTGAAATATCGAAACGTTCCTTGTCGATGATAGTGGACCTTTGCCGATTTTCATGACCTCTAACAATTATTTACATCACGGAACTTTGAAGCTAACCTTCTACCGTATAGTTCTGCACCTATCTCGGCCCGTTTGATTAGGCTGTGTCTGGCTAACAAAGGTTTCGACGCTGCACACTTTCTGCAGTTTTACGTCGTTCGTTCAAAAAATTCTTCGAATGGATTTATTGCAATTTTTATTTTGGCGGAGAAAATCAGTTAATTTGAATGTTTGAAGAAATTAGGGTTTTTTTTCGTAAAGACAGGAAGTACAGTTGTGATTTTAGATGGTTGTAAACCTACCAACCTTGTGTATTGCCTTATCTCGCAGTTACGTACTTGTTGACGTAAACTATTCTGATAATGCAATCACAACGATGCTGAGATATTTGTAAAACTCCGGATCGCAGGTGTCTACGGCCCGGATGGAACCCGTTGTTACCTCGTTGTGTTACCCTTCATGCTATTACCCCACGTTATCTTGTGGCTATTTTCTGATAATATGTTACCATATTCTTTGTTTTCCGTTTTGGTTTGGAGCCTTTTGGCAATCAAAGATGTTGCCTTTCGTTTACAGTCTGTTAACAACTATACAGACGTTATTTCAAAACCGACTTTCCTCTAACCTCGGTGTGACTGTTCAATACGTATTCTTTCTTTGGTAAACTTACCCGAGGTTGATAAATAATCTTTATTCGGCTAACATTTCGACGGTTTCGTCTTCAACAGAGCTGATGATCCAAGTCGGTGGTCCACAGTTGTTCGTGTTATACTGACAGTTCCCAACCTCTTGAAGAATACTTTTTATCTCTTTGGATTCTCGTTAATCCACAGTACAGTATAAGTACTTAGCGTGCCGCTTCAGTTGTGCCGAACCATGCTTTCCGTTGATTGATGACATGCCTTTATCCACTTAATCCATACCTCAAGATCCTTATATTTTTAGTTGGACCTCAAGATCCCCAAGATCACTCAGTGAATCGATGTCGGAATATTCTAGAATTGTGCATTCTATCAACGAAGGCAGATACCTAGTTGTGAACACATTTCGGTCTCAGCTTATCTACATCAGTTGGCTTGACACTTCTAACGACGGTCACAATATTACCAGTCAATGAACCCGTTACAGCTTATTAATTAATTGTTCCATAATAGGTCATTTAAATGTAACTATACACATATATATATATATATATATATATAAGGTAGTGAAACACCTTCATTCTTAGTTTGATTAGTTTGAAGAGAGATGGATCGAGACCAACATCGAAGCGAGTGGACTGGAACTATTCATTTGCTGTAGAATTTGTAAACAAGTAAAAGCTCGCCAAGGCCGTAACTGGATCATAACTAATCGATGCCACACATGTACACGTATGGAATGATCGATGGACAGCATTGGACAGTGTATTAACTTTTATTTCTTTTAATGCGACTAATGTCACTCCCTTTCAACGCTTTACCGCTTACCGCCTCATCGTGGCTGGGAGGTGTTCCTGGGTGTCGGACTGCGATGTACAGAGTGGGAGATCCATCCCCCAGCAGAGTCTCCCAAGCTGAGAAGGAGTCTGCCGTTTCGATTAGGAAGCGCTGCTAAGAGTAAACCTCCACCACCGTCCTGGTATCAAACTAGTTGCATGATGGCAAACTTCCTTCTGACGCACAGGGCGGTGACTGCTCAGGGCGGGGGGATGGGCAGACTTTGGCCAGGCTGGCCTCTTGACTCGAGGGAACCATAATGGCTTAACCAGCAAATCTCCGAAAATGGCGATTATGGTGAGGGCCGCACAACTAGTGAAGATGGGCCATGGAAATATCCATGTAATTAATGCGGCTCCACCAAGTCGATTTGGTTCATTATCCACTGTTGACAAGACTGAGGTGCATGTGTACCACAGATTAGTAATGATCTAGTTCCAGCTTTAGCGAGCTTTTACTCGCTTACAAGAAGTTATACAGCAAGCTGATGGTTCCAGCCCACTTGCTTCAATGTTGGTCCCGAACCGTTCTTCTTCAACCTAGCCAGGTTGAAAATGGCTGATGCTACATTGAAATGACCAATGTGCAGTTCGGTTTTCCATAGTTTCATGTGTTTGATAAGACTACGTCTTGTTTCATGAAAGCTTTCGTTGTACAGTCACCTTTATATTTACATACACATTTACATTTACATTTACACTTACATTTGGCATTTACATATACAAACACACAAACAGGTTTTCTCTTTGTTCACCAACTACGGTCAATCGATTCAGATTTTCTCTGTAACATTTAGAGCACCACAATCAGGTTTATATAAACCTTAAGGGTATTTGGACAAGAATTGCAACAACAACGGCAACAACAGCAACAACAACAACAACAGTAACAACAACAACAACAAGAGCAACAACAAGATGAACGCTGACATTGGGAATGGATGCAGCTTTGCTGAACGTAAGTTTGCTCTCGTATATGTTGTGTTCTTTGCCAAACGGTTGTTTCTTCTCCTTAGTTTATGAAATTTGGCTTTTCTAAAGAATTCCGGTAGTATGAGCAGTTAATTGTTGATGAACTGACCAAACAACTAGAACGTGCTATGTTGGATGGAGTGGACCTGTACTGTTGAGTACCATTCCAAATTACCGGTTAGGTCTTTTGGAAACTCTGTATCCATGAATTTCGTAAGTTGTACTCAATAGAGGACAAAATTCTTTTTCAGTCTTTCTAAGGCTGTTAACTATTGAACAATTTACAGTTGACAAAGCGGTATATGATGATATTCATGCAGCCCTAACTCAGGCAAACAGAGGAGAAGTTGAGTCCGACCTTTGGTCCAACCTTGCAAAGGTAGGTTTTACGCTATCCAGTTGATTTATCCGGAGTAATTGTATCTGGAACATCAATATTGGATTTCCTCAGAGACTTGCTATTTAACGTTTCCTGGAAATACGCTTTAGAATTTGGTTGATAACTAGTCGATTGTATACGATTTCTGCAAAAATAGGTTTAAGTCATAAAGGAATAACTTCTATTAGGCTATAATTCCGAGGTTTGTTTTGACTTACTCGAACTACCCTTATCCACTACCTGTGTACGCTTTGTGGATCCCAATGCTGGCTGTGAAATCCATTCAGGGTTGACAAGAAAGACTAACAAGTTGTATGTGGGCTGACCTTTCTCATTCCAGCTATAGTGTATTGATGACTAGAAAAACAGCACGTAACAACAAGAAATAGACTTTAACTTTGCTTATTTTTAGATATTTCATGACTATCACAAAGCTTTGCAATATCTCGGTCCTCAAGTTCTTCCGGAAGAGCTGCGTCATGCGCGCGGTGCTTATCGCTGCTTAGCTGCTTGTGTCATGCGGAATTGTTTCGAGAAAGACTACGATAGCAGCAAAGTGGGATCTTCTTGTGACGATCGTTTTTCATCTAATACGTTTGTGATTTGAATTCTTCACTTTTTTTTCTACAGGATGACTCCTTCTTGGGTTCTTTGATTGCTGAGAATCAGGAGTTTCGCATCATCTATGTAAGTTTTCAGAGTGGTTTAATCCTACGGCCTTCAAACAGACCTCGTTCAGGTGTTGTGGCGGTGGTGTATCGACGGTGCAAATGAATCGAGTGGATTTTCCGATCTCGCACATCAGCTGAACGATATCGGAGAGTTTTCCGGTTCTTTGAGGTGAAGGTGTTTACCTAGTCTTTAAATATTCAGTGCATCCGTGTGTTTACGGAAGAGGAATTTCAACTCAATGTTTCTTTATTTGTAAGTTTACTGCATCTGCCTGCGATCTTTCAGTACTGCCATATCTTCTTCAAGCGTTGACAGTGCTGATTAGAGATTCAGGATAAAAAGGATAAAAGATAAAGCTCTCGGCGTTAATCCCTGAGGGATGCGCCATGCATTCAACTTCGTTAAGCACCGCTGGAGGTGATTCAACGCATATCAGGCCTTTACGATGACTCGCGTTGGTCTACCGATGTATCGAGCCAGTGCTGCTATCCTCCCAGGCAGGTCTGATACCAATTTGCCGACACCGGAGAGACGGAGGGCTTGGTGAGCCTGGGGTGCGGGGACCGATTTGACGTGTGTTGCAGGGCGCTTGCTACCACTGAGTTGCATACGTCCTGTTAGAGACTAAAAGAATAATAGTATATAAACCATTGGAACGTTGCCATTCGAGATTGACACTGCGTTGGGAATTGTTTCTTGCTTTAGATCGAGTATGAAGACGATTAAGAGTGCAAGGGAAATTGCTGTTGATCCGGATTCGATTCTTAGCGCTGCAGATCCGGTCTTCGACAAATTCATGCGTCTCCTGTTTAGTCTCTTAAGATGTGGTCGATTTGATGAGGTATTAGTTTGCTGGGATTTTTAAGCTTAGTGCACAATTTTCCAGCCTTTTCAATTTTAACACTTGCGTTCCTTGCTTTTCTAAATAAATATTCTATAGTGATTGAAACATTGCTTCTTTTGAAGCACATTTGTTTTGATAAGTACAGGAACTGATAGAAACTGGTTGAGAAACTGCTGAAAAGCATTATAATCAACACTGATTAGCAAAGTGAATAGTAGGGTTCCTATGTGGATTCCCAACGAGGACGAAATATACATTCTTAAGGCTATAGAACTTTCTGGCGATTTATGTGTGCCATGGATGCGACTACCGATTTACACACAGCGACTTCTTGTTGATCGAACCCTCCTACCTGCTCATCTGAACAAGCGTGAACGACTACCTTTCCGTTTTAGAGAACTCTCTTTCCAGATAATGACGAAAATGGTTAACGAGGTTTGTCCTTCAGGGTTAATTTTGCTTAATTCAGAAAGTAGTTTTCAGCATTTTAATGAACGAAATTGGACTTGTTCTAATTATTGAAAAGAGTTTCGTTTTATCTCCATGGAAGTTCTGCTGCGTCCTTTTTTTTTTGAAAACTTCATTTCACCACCTGACCTGGTAAATCGGAGCGTTTTACTGTAAGCTACATCTATAATCGAAGTTCTGGGCGCCAAAAATAAAGTGTTGTGGTCTGTTAGAAAACAGTCGCGCTTCCGAGGTTCCCTTAATATGAGGTCTCATCCAAGCAAGGAAACCTTCGTACCATAGTGCGACCTTTGTGACCATCATAGCTTCTGACGTTTTTTTTTTCCGTGGTTCTTTTGGATACAGAAACATTTAAAGACGAACTGTCACACTTTTATCACCTGTGTCCCGTTGATTGTCCAGTGACTCCGGCGAGCACCAATAAATCTTCCGTTTTCTCTGTCGCATGCAAGAGTAACCCAGTGGGTTCTGCTCGCTCTAGGGACTCATCGAGCATCATATATTTCTTCTAGGCTTTTCGTTAAGAACGCTGACCATCGGATCGGTGGTCTTCCTGCAGTACGAGACAGCCTTAATCGACTTGTAATGATGTAATTACTGTTTTATAAGGCACATAATGGTGTGTTATGTGAAACTCAATTCGCACCAATTTGCATTCATTGCCTTGGCAAACTAGGTGGTAGAAGGATTACTACTTCATCTCTGTGATGTTGATTGACAAGATGTGTTTTATCAGTACTTTCTGTCCACGTAATTTAATTCTTCTTTAGACGAAGTATACTATGGGTATTCGAATGTTTTTCGCGGCCCTTGTAGGCGACTTCAAATTTCTTCTTCCACTTGCAAACAATTTTGAAGATCGTCTTTGGTGCTACGTGAATGCTTCTGTCCAAGCCAGGTTCACTTTCAAGTTCTACTTTGTGATGAAGTACGATTGTTTGTTAGGCCATTGAGTATTCTAACGATAGAGATTGAGAAAGGTGATTGATGGAAAGGAAAAAAGGGCTCAGTTACTGATATCATTGTTGTGAAATGATTTGTGTTTAGACTGAACTTATCTCTCGCATTGAAACATCCAGTGTTCACTCCTACGACTGCAGGAGGTATTTTTGAAGCTATTCTCACGGTATGCTACTATCAGATATCTGTTCTCGAGATTTTCACTGCATCATGGCCATTCCTTCATTACAGGCGGATACTTCGCCGTACCATACGCTTATGAGCTTCATGGTGCGCGGAGCATGGGACGAAGCTATAAAATGGATGGACGACTTTAGTAGAAAGGTTGAAGTAGGAAGTGATATCCGCTCTCGATCACTATATCGTTTTTTCGGCCTCGTCACGAGTGCATGTCATGTCATGAAGCATAGCTTTAAGGTTAGTTATGTATTTTCAAACGGATGAACAGTTTGAAAAATGTGTTGTGTTTTGTCTGGAATATTGTGAAGTCTACCAAGAAATGTAAGGAACTGTTTTATGTACATCCCACAAAACCATGATTATTCTGAATCGTTTCAGAAGATTTTATCATTTTTTACTTAAGCGGTTATTATTAGCTCCTCACAACGTTTTACCACCTTATCGTGGCTGGGAGGTGTTCCTACGTATCGGGTCGCGATGTACAGTGAGGGGATTCATACCCTCAGCACGGCTTCCCATCGTGAGAAGATGCCGGGCGTTTCCATTAGGAATCCCAGCTAAGGGTAAATGAATACCGGGGTCCACCACCGTCCTGGTATCAGACTAGTGGCATGGTGGCAATCTCCTGATCCACAAGGACAGCGACTGCTTGTGGTGGTGAAGACCTGGAGCAGACTTTGACCAGGCTGACCTCCGGATTCCAGAGAACCACAACGGCTTAACCAGCAAAGCTCCGAAAAATGGTGATTGTGCTGGGGCCCGGACAATCAGTGAGGACGGGCCGTTCAAGTGTGCAGGTCTAACGTGTAACTCAAAAGACCGACTTTCTGTAAACCTCGGCATAGATAGTTAGTGTATTTGTTTATATGATCTTATAAACTGATCTTTAGCTGGTGCGAAGTTGGTATAGGTCTTCGTTGCCGTTGTTGTTGTTGTTGTTGTTGGTCGATGGCTGACGTTCCGGCGATTTCGCCTTCCTCAGAACTTGGACGTATTTTATATAAGAATACTTTAATTATTCGGTGGAAAAAAAGGCTGAAGTATTAATGAAGATCGAACTTTTAAATAGACGCCACATCGAACAGAAGGGCTACGCACCGTGATGTTACGACTGGGACTGGCCGACGCATTGTTCACGTGGGGTCGCGAGCGAAGCACACCCAGGGGTCAAAATTTCATTTTGAAATAGGGCGCCAGGTCACGTTTGATAGTGAGGCATTCGTCTTTCCGGTTCGTCTTTGGTTTTTTGAAATTTATCCAAGGCGCCTCAAGAGTTTTGCGCGTTCTCACATCAGCTGCAGAAGATCAATTTATAAAATATGAATAATATGCAGGTGTGTCTATTTTTTCAGGAAGATCATTTAAAGAATATTATCGGAAACATGGTTGATGTCCTGCGAGAGAAGCAGCTATTTAGTCACATACCGTTTTATGCAGCTATTTTATCGAAACAAGAAGCACTGCAACTAATTAGGAATGTGATGTCAGGTGGGTTATGTGCCTTTAATCTCGTCTTTTAGACATTATTGGCTAGTGAACACATTGACAAGTTTTGGACATCTTGCTTAAGTTGTTTGGTTCGCATTTCAGTACTTATGCAGAAACTTTTATGACGTATTTTCTCGACAGTTCGAGTACATCTTTTCCTTTTCCATATTTAACCGAAGCCCAATTACTTTGCCTTGTCTTTTCACGGAAGCAGCAAGACCACCGACCGGCTACTAGGTTTTCTCACGAAAATGAACAAAAACTTGGAGCATTTTGTCTATCGTGCTGACCTAGTTCACTGTTCAATTTCGACACCCTCGAGAAGAATGACTAATCTGTTGGTGCTTTCTAAATTACTTAGTGATTAGTGGTTTATGGTTATCCTCCTAATTTGGCTTCACTGTTCTTTTTTGCAGTTGTTTGTTTCTATTACTATTTACTTGCTTTTAGATGTAAAAACGGCCGGCGATCGTTACACATTTATTGAAGCACTAAAGGAAGCAGGATTAGACGGTGAGAGTATCGCTGTCGAGTTTGGCCGATTTCGTATGTTGGTATGTTTTATTTAAACTTGTTGTCGTCTTTAGGTTACATATATATCTTAAATCAATTGCTCAGGAGGAAGTCGACCATATTGATCGCTTGGATTGGATATTCGCTTGCAGTGATAAGAAACTCCTACACGCCGTTACTGAGGCCAATGCTGTCATGCGTTATTATCTGTGTATGTTGCTTCCTTAAGAATCCTAACGTTTTCGTATTGTGTTCTCATTTAGTACGGGACATGGAAACTGAGGCTAATACCGTGATTAACGCTTGTGAGCGTCTTCAAATAGTAGACCGCTTTGCCAGATTAGTCAGAAACATGGAGCATACGGAAGAATCTCAAGTGGAAAAGGCTGCAGAACTCGTTATCGATGAGTTCAACAATCATCGTCTTTATTTGGTTAGTTTATTTGCTTTTCTGCAAACTTTTATTTCGCTCTGGGATAAATCAAGCTCCTTGGAAATTCTTCAATGTAACTATCACATATTTTCTATTCAACGAAGCTGCAAAATCTCGCTCGTGAATTTAAATGAGCTTTTCTAGAATGACTTCTTTTCTGGGAAAGATTTCTTGGTAAAGATGTTGAGTCACAAATTTGCATGACAATCGATTGGCGTCATCCGTTATCCCATTCCACGAATACTGTTACGTCGTACATTAAGCGAGTATATTTGCTTATTTACATCGACCAACACAAGTGTATTAGTCATTCAGTTGTTGCCCATTTGATTGAAAGTCCCCCAAGTAAAAAAGCGATTACGTTATATGACTCTTGTGTCAAATAATTCCGCTTGGGTTGATTCTGGTCCTTTTGCTCATGTTTTTCATAGGGATTCATTCATATTAATTACGTGAATGTGTCGATGGCCCATCCTCACTGGCTGTGCGAGTCCCAACACAATATCCATTTCTCCGGAGTTTCAGTGGTTTAACCATCATGGTTCTCGAGGGTCCTGAGATCAGCCTAGCCAAAATCTGTACCAAGTTGTCACCACCACAGGCAGTCGCTGTTTTTGCGGATCAGAGGGGGATTTGCCACATGTGACTAGTTTGATATCAGGACGGTGGTAGATCTCAGTATTGGTTTACTCTTCTGGGTTTCCTAATGGAAACACCGGGCTCCTCAGCTAGGGAGACTCTGCGGGGGTGGGGGTGAATCGCCCCGTTGTACATCGCAACCACCCACGCTCACCTCCTAGCCACAGTGAGGCGGTAGACCGTTAGGAGGTTGTTTATGTTAGTTGTTTTTAGGCCATTTACACTCATCTATCTGTCAAAGTAGTAATTAAGAATTCGGTGTTGAAGGTAAGCTGTAAACAACTTATTAAAGTGTGATGTTCTGGAATAGATTTTAAACTGTGCTCCAGATCTGAAGATAACAATTACCGTCGCATTTCTGGGAACGTGGAAACCTTCTGTGGTTAATTTTAAATTCTTTTCATTAGAAAAACCACTTTAGATTCAAACTAATTGATAAAGAAGAGCTATTTTTCTTTCTTAAAAGTAAACCTGCAATAACATTGCTATACCCGTTGGTATCTAAACGTTTACTCAACACTTTCATTGAATGACAGCTATACTTATTCGTTGTCCTGTGGCAGAGTAATGCGTTTAAAATTTCTTTCTAGTCTGCCGTAGCTCACTGTACGACATTTGCCGTCGAATGTGCCAAGGCATACGATGCAGCACGACAAAAAGCCGAAGATGAACATGAAGAGCATCTGTACTCGCGGCAAGGAGACCTTGTCGACCTTTCGCGACGTACTGCCTTAGCGGAGCGCAGCCAGTCACGTTACGAACACTCTAAGATTACACTAGGCGCATGCAAGGAAGTGAGTTATTAATTATTTATTTTTATCTTTTGTGTTTCGAAAGTTCTGCTTCTCAGAGAACGTTTGATGCAGTGGTAGCACTTCTACAACATCCTGGTTGGAGGTCAATTACGAATGAGGTTGGTGACCACGCTTTTTCCTTAACAATTAACTTTTTTGGAGAAAAGTACTTGGAGAGTGATCAGTCTCGTTATATCGATAAGGTAGAACGAGCTCGCTACAGAAATGTGGCTAACGGTTCTGCGCCTTAGCCACAATTAAGGATTTCTTTAATAACCTCGTGTTGGTTTATCGATACAGCAAGGTATTAAATTGTTACATTACACCAAAATTAAATGAAATTATATTTTTAAAGATGTTTCTGAGGGATCTTAAGTTTTTTTAGGACTGGGGACGTACAGAACAGTTGGAAACATTAAGAGAGCGATTTTATGCTAGCATCTTGAACAGGTTTTTACGCAGTGTGGAAATGTACGGGGATATGGACATTATACTGAAACTACTTCCTGTATTAGCCGATGACGACTTAAAAATTTATGAGGTTTGTACACAAACAGATGACATTTTTAAAAACCATAGATTTCATTGTGAAAGGACTACACCGTATGAATTCATACCACTTCGTTTATCGCCTTCATTTTCAGGATCTTGCTGAAGATGATCTCAGCCAATTTCTCCTTGATCTCCACGCTGTAGCAGGACACTTATTGGGATAAAGTTCCTTTATTTCTTACTATAATTCTTGCCTGTACTTTGCTCAGATCTGTGATGATTAGTTTTCCAAACATACATAACCATGATTAAATAAAAGATGTTTGCAGGAGTTCCCATTGTGCTTGTCTTTTCATTTAAAAAATAAATGCTGTAGTTAACTAGCGCTAACTGTTTTCGCTACAATTTTTCTCATATTTAAAGAAGTTGTTTAACATTATTCACCTTACTGGCCTTCCGATAGGCAGTTCTCTGGGAAAGAAAGCCTGAATACATGAGTAACGCATCTTCACCGATTATATGGGCTTCACACCAATTCCTAGCTGACTAGTTACATCGTTTCGCATTCTTTTTTCTCTGTGACTGTTGTGCCATCTTTCTTTCTGAACTGCAGTGATAGTTGGTACAATTTTTCTTTTACCATGCTTTCTAATGGAGCTGCCTAACTACTCGTCAGCTACTTGTGAACCTGTTATGCGAAACCAGCTGCATAATTCGTTCATTCTGCGTAATCAATCCTACTTATGTACGCAACTTTGACACGACACCAAACCTTCTTCTTCTTTGTGCAGAATGTTTGTAGTAGCAAAAGAAGAGAGAACAGCAACGTTTAAGTACCAGATTTCCAAATTTAATTAAGGTAAGGGTAGTTCAGGGAAGTGTGTAGCGCAGAGGTTAAAGGCGCCCTGCAATTCGCGGATCGATCCCACAACTCAGGTTCACCAAGCCTTCCATCCCTCCGGGGTCGGCAGATTGGTACCAGACTTGTCTGGGAGGATAGTAGCACTGACTCGATGCAT